GAGAGAGAAGAGAACAAGAAGACGACAAATAACGAGAAATTCCCTATTTCGCTTAACACTTGATTATTTCCTTTCAACCAACTCTCCCTCCTCTCTCTTCTTCTTCTCCCTCCATGGATTCCGTCTCCGGTTACGCCGGAACACGTCACCCTCGATCCGGCGGCAAGATTCTCCGACCACGCCGGACCGCCATCGTCAGAACGCCGTACGACCGTCCCGCTCCGAGATCCCAGGATCTTCCTCCTCAGCAAAACCCTAGTTGGATCTCCAGGCTCGTTTACAAACCTGCAAGCGTAATTGCCTCCGGCGCCGGAAAATTCATTTCTTCCGTCGTCTTCTCTGAGTCTTCCTCATCTTCTTCCGAGAACGAGGATTCATATTCAGGTATGTGTGTTACTGTACAATTTCATATTGGGGTTTGGATAGGATTAAATTGCAGTATAGGGTTTGAATTTTTTTTTATTTTGTTTTGTCGAATCTGAAACCTGCAGTTTCATTTTTTGAAATGTGAATTTGATTTAAAGCTTTACCCTTTTTCTCTTTCCTTTAATACGAGACTTAATTGCAGTGAAGTACTACTTCTCTAGGTTACTTTTGAAGCTATATTAATTCTCAAGCTCTAATTTTTTTCATGTACGATTGAGAAAACCGACCAGCTTTGTGTCTTTTATCTTTCAGAGTAGGTTTATATGTTCTTCTCCTTGTTTGCAGATATTGATGGTGATGAGGATGTTGAGAAGAACATTACAGAATTTACTGAAGATGAAACAATGGTAGATGTACTAACCAACTTTTAGTCGTTTTGGTTATTTGATATGCCATGTATTAAATTTGGTTACAGACCGTAGGCTTGTGATCTCTGTTCATATTCATTGTTTATAGAGTTGATTCAGTTATATTGGCCTAGTGGTTGGTGTTGCTAAAGATTTAAATTTTACTATGGTTTTGTGCTGTGAGACTACCTTTTCACTGTTTTCGAGCTTTTTTATCATGTTTATGAATTGCATCTTGATCCTGAGTTTGTAAAAGTAAAGCGCGTGAAGCATGATTTCAGTTTATGTGGAGTGAATATTATGTGTTCTTGTGTAAACAGGACCTTGTGAATGCCCAACAATCAACCATCCAACAACTCAGTTCTAAGCGTGTAATTGAGCAGCTTCTCATGCAAGAAACATTTGCAAGGTATTTCGCTGTGTCTGGTTTTCTAGACATCATTAGTCGAATCTCCCTTGCGCCTGTATTATTATATACATCTCTTAGTTGAAACTATATCTGTGGTATTTGTTTAATGAGCTTGCTAAGTCATTGATGTGTATGTTGTTTCAGGGAAGAGGGCGATAGATTAATAGATATCATCAAGGCGAGGATTGTAGATCATCCCAGTGTCCCCGCTGCTGATGAGGGTAGGCATAGTGACAATGGATTGACAAGTGGTATGTAACTGATGGTAGACTGTGCAAGCAGAGCGGATTAATCTATGTAATAACATCTTCTCGCTTTTATTTCTAGAGGTGAATGTGGGTGAAACGTCCAATAAAGCTGTCATGGAAGCAAAAAGATGGATGGAGGAGAAGAAATCAGCATCAAAGTATAAAGTAAGTTCTGAAAACTCTGCTTCTTAACTTTTCCGTATTGCCGCAAAAATGTCTTTGTTGAAATATCTCGTCTCTGTAATACAAGGAGACATCTTCTGTTTGTGTGAAATCCAATGTGTGATTTGATTGTTCAACGCTTTCTCCGTCTGATCAGCAATGCAGAGCTCTCTATCACAAGTAGTTTGTTAAGGATTTTGAGTATGACCATATGTTTAATTTAGTCCTGAAATGCATCTATTGTTGCTTTTCCTTTTGAGAGGATATGACCATATGCTCCTAAAACTTTGTTGATCGTCTGATTATTTTCCTTCACCAGTATTCTGCCATTTGTAGTTTCTTCTCAAATGTTCTTTAGACAACAATCACCATCTCAGCCATTATTTTCAATCTCCAGGTAACTGAAGATGGTGCTGGATCGCCTGTGGACGTGGCCAAGTCATTTATGCGAGCTCGTCTGCCATGGGGATCTCCGATTGTGGACAATTCAGAGTTTCGGTCACCATCACCAGCAGGGATGCAACTTCTTAAGGAAGGGACACCATTTCCATATAGTGCTGGAAACTTTTCCTCTTCCAAGGTACAGCAGAACTTCAAGGTTGCCAATATATTATGCAGAGCAGTGCATACTTTTCTTATGGTCAAATGTTGTTTGAAAGTCTGAAGTTGTTTTTTGTTCATGCTACTTAATCACAAGGCATCTGTGTGATACTATCTCCAGTTTTTCCAAAAGAAAAGTTGCATACCATCATGTATTCTAATGGCTCTCTTAAAGTAATGCATATGCATTCTGACTTTTGATACCAAACTGCAGCTGAAAAGGAGATCCCGTTCTAGTCAGTCATGGAATATTCAAGATGAAATTCGCAAAGTCAGGGCTAAAGCAACAGAGGAAATGCTTAAAAGCCCCAGTAGTGTACCCTCGTTGGAACCTAAACACAGCTCCTATGTTATAGATGCATCTCTGAATGTTGATGGAGGTGTCCAAGGTATTTTTTTTCCTTTATTCACATGTAGGATAACTTTTTCAGTAATAAACAACATGAGATGAAGCTGAAAGTGATTTCAGTTCTGGTTACATGGAGTAACTCTTGTTGTTTCTGTTCTTCCAGCTGTACGGAACGAGCAAGGCAGAGTTCTACCAAATTCAACCATACCTACCTCTGACCAAAATCAGGTATCAAGCTCTCTTTACATGATGTGTCTCTATAACAAGAGGGAACTTGCAGTCCAATCTTTTCTTTGTTCCCTTGTGTGTTTTACTTGAGCGAAGACTACGGAAGCTAATCAAGCCGTTGAAGAAACAGGAGTTTTACACACTAGATCTCGTTAG